TTTTTTTTTTTTTTTTTTTTGTTTCTCTATTCTCAATTCACACACAAGATTGAAGGCCAGTTGCTCTTCATTTCATTCTCTATTTGTTAAAGAAAAATCATTTTAATAGAAAAATTTATTATATTATGTTTGAATTTTAAATTTTCAATGTTAGTTGCACAAATATAGAGTTAACTGAAATTTATTTAAAAATAAAATCTTTAGTATGATGAATGTTGGATTAGAAAAAAAAAACATATAAAAATTAAAATATAAAATTAAGAATACTTAAAAATCGAACCGAACTGTTTCGTTAGTCCCGAATACTGAAGCGAACCGAAAAATAAAAAAATTCAAACCGAAGCAAATCGAATTTTTGGTACGGTTCCGGAGATTTGTCAATCTCCGAACCGTACTGACCCACTCAATTTGGTATTTTGTTTATAGTGAATCTGAAGGCAGACATTTCCAAAGGAATGAATTGGGAACCAAAAACTCATCAGCTGTAGCTATGCCAGGTAAACTCACCCAGAAATACAGAATAAATCCAAGCACAGTTATTCATTTTTCTAAAATGATGTTGAGTTGAGCCTAAATGTTACATTATATATTGAAGACGAGTAGAGTTCCAATTGAAAATAATACTTAAAGTTAAAATATGTGATCGATTTTAGTTCTTAAGATTAGTTTATTCTTTAAAAATATTTGTATCCAATAAAAATAAAGGGAAATGTTACAGTCCCGGTACGGAACCATTCCGTCGGAGTTTGTAACCGTTAGATCAAATATCATCGACGGTTATATGATGATCTAACGGTTACAAAAATAAATATATCCAAATTGCAGTTGCTACCCAAATCAAATCTCAGAGCTCAACAGTAGCCTGATTAAGAGCAGTGTACCGCCACCTCTCCTTCTCCACAAAATCGGCATCGGAAAACCTCGCTGCAAAAACCCAAACCCTATACATGTCCTCGAAATTGCTCAACATCCCAATTGAAACAGAAACCACGAACACCCCCAAATCTTGTTTCCCTTTCGTCTTCTCCTCTGCATCGTTCGATAGCCCTTGCCGCGACACATTACCTCGATCTTGCAACACTTTTTCTCTGTCTTCCTGACAATGATCGGAAAACCAAATGTTCTTCAAGAACCCAACGGTGAGGGAGACATTGTTTCTGTCGGCGAGCTTCTGTACCAAGACGGGGTCGACCCTTTCTCCCTTCCAATCGTACACGTTGAACGCGAGTGCCGGGCCTCGATCCAGCTGGATCCTCGGCCCGTATATCCTGACCAGTGGGAGCCCGTTTTCAGAATGTGGGTGCCGGAGGCTCAGCAGCGCGTTCACGAGCCAGTTGACGAGGCACCGTGTTCTGGCGCTGATCAAAACTAGCCCTAATTCGTCTGCGTGGTCCAGGGCCTGGAACTCAGGTTCTGGACAATTTGTGGCGTCAAGATTAGGGCTTTCGTCCAATTCGACGACTATTTCGGAGGACTTTGCTTTTCTCTTTTCTGGATCGATTGTCTGTTGTGATATGTAGGTTGGAAACGTCGCCGTTTGGCTCTCAGTATTCTCGTCAATGGTCGTAGGGGTTAAGCTGATAATTCCCATGCTTGCGGTCGATTGGCTTAAATCCGAGACGCTGGATTTTTTAATGTACAAGCAGCAAAAACCTGATGGGTTTTCGCCGAAAATCTTGAAGAACGAGCAGATAAGAAAATCCGGCTGGAAAAGTGAAAGGCCTAGTGTTTCCATGTCCTTTGCTCCTAATGCAGATGCGTCAAGCAAAACATGCCATCCATTTTCCCTCGCTAAATTCATCCACTGGTAAGAATATCTCGAACCAGTCATCCTCGACTGCAGTGGGAAAGCAAACAGGCCCCTGTTTTTCGACTTGCTCTTCCCTACAACAATCTTCCTCAATTTCCTGGAGTTGACTTTAAAACTAGGCCACGAGAATACGGCCGACAGTGCCCGGGCGTCTCTTTTCCGGGCGCTTTCCACCATCACTTGAACGGCCTCATTCTCATAATCGTACACCGTCAAAAGGTTCTGATTGGGCCTAAAAGGATAAGAGTCGGCAAGAATCTTGAATGCTGATGTCTGGTTAGCCACGAAAACCGACGAGTAATCCTCCTCGACCAAGTTCATGAATCTAGAGATTCTACTCCGCATTTGAGCCTGAAAGCTCGATTCTTGGCTCCCGTACAGCAAGTGGGAGCTCAGGCTCGTAGGGCTGTACGAAATCTCGAAAAACGGGGAATTTGATGACGACGATGATGATGTAGAAGATTTGTTTTCTTGAGCCAGACCTCGTTTTTGGGAACAGGAGAAGAGGCCGTGGCCCACGTAGTCGAGGCAGGCCCGGCCCGAGAGATGGGGATATTGGTGGGCCCGTATGTGGTCGGCGAGGACCGTGTTGAGGTAATATGGGGCTGAGTTTGTGAGGGCAGAAAAGAGGTGGGAGAGTGAAGGGAGGGATTCGTGGTTGGTGAAGTTGGTGTTTGGATGTATGGAGGAGATTATGGCCGAGACGAAGTTTTGACGAGGGCTTACGGGATTATTATTAGTGGTGGGTTCGAGATTGGGAGTGTCAGGAAGATGAAGGGAAAGGTCAGGGTTTATACAGAAGGTTTTGAGGCAGGCTTTTGATGCTTCTGTTATGCAGTTGGACTGCATTTTTTTTATGGTTTCTGGGTTTGTGGCTCACTCATGATAATGATAATGAAAATAATACACTTCTTTATATTGTTTTTTTTTTCCAGTTTGTTGTTGCAAATTGCAAGGCTGACTTTGTTGTTGTTTTCATTGTTTTGGTGCATCATTTTAAATATCTGAAGGACAGAGAACTTGGTAGTGTTGTGAGAGCCAGGGTGTCTGATGGGGGACTACGTTGACGAAGTCTTCCATCAATCATTATGCTTTTGCATTTTTTTTTACGGGAGATGCTACGGTCCTACGGAACTATTCCGTCGAGGTTTGTAACTGCTAGATCAACTATCCTCGACGGTTACATGATATGATGATCTAACGGTTTGCAAACACCGACGGAATGATCCCATAACGGGACCGTAGCGTTACCCTTTATTTACTCCTATAAAAGTTTGATTTAGTTTGAAATTTAAGCTTCAGGGAAAAAACGTAAGGGAAGCTTTAGATTGTTTTTGCTTAT